GTGTGGTGTGTGTGTGGTGTGTGTGTGTGTGTGTGTGTGTGTGTCGTCGTCCGTTCGTCGTCGTCGTCGTCGTGTGTGTGTGTGTGTGTGTGTGTGTGTGTGTGTGTGTGTGTGTGTGTGTGTGTTACTGACCCAGACTGTAGGACAGGAATTCGGAGGAGAAGCACTTGGCTCCGTGGCTCATGGACGTGTCGTTGTGTGTGTTTCCTCCAAACACCAGCATGGTCCCGCTCACCATCACCGCTGTGTGCAGGTAGCGGAAGAAGCCGCTGTCTCTCAGAATGGTCCTGCAAACACAGTGATGGTTTTTATAGTTAGATTACCTGTTTAACCTTGTTTGCCTTTCACAAGATTTAATGATCGCTTTGCATTAGTTTTAACAGCAGAATTCATTGCACAGAACAATTCATGCAAATAATGCTCAGTATTCACACTCACAGTACATATCCCTGATATCAATACGTTCAATGCTTATTGCAAGGCATACAGATTCATTGCAGCAGGTGTAAGAAATCTCCCAGAATATGTATTCCTATTTTACAATCGTTACAAATGAATTGCATTTTATTTCAAGTGTATCGAAGAAGTGGTTATGTTGTGTAAAAAAGGGTTTATTTTATTCATATTCTGTAACAGACTTAGTAATTGTGATTTAATGTCATGTTTTCCAGGATTCCGGTCTTTTCTTTTCATAACACATGGTGGTTGATAGAGAACATAAATCAATCAGATGCAGTGAGAGTTGTTTTGCCTTGAATGTGGGATTTAAGTGTAAAGTGCAGACAGTCTGTTTTTGTATAGCAATACAGCCAATTAGCTAAATGAAGGCCTTCAGAAGTTATTTAAAATACTGACAATTTGTATAAAGTACACCTTATTTTCCATATTGCGGTTTGTACAACCTTGAGAAAATTACAAGTGCAGACTGTTTTAATAATAGATAGTTACAGTCTGAAAATGATTTTATTTTCAAATTGAACAGATGCTGATGTTTTAAATTTTACATTGTAAGGTTATGAGCCCAATTTCTTTTTTTTTATTAATGATTTTTGCATTATTATTGTTGCAAATAAGACACAATTTGACTTGAACATATTGTATAATCTCAAACATAACCTAAATAATACATCTTTGTTTCTTGCAGCAGTCATTTCTGCTGTCTGTTTGCTAAACTTCATTACAAATTGATCAATAATAGCAATTTTCTATCTTTTTAAAGAATCATTTCAGAGGCCTGAGTAGGTAGAAAGTATGCTGCATTTGAGAAGAACAAATTAAAAGCATGAAAAAAAACCACAACAGTAAACCTCAACGATTGCACACTTGAACATCATAATGCATCAGAATACACTGTACAACAATCTTGTGTACTTTACTGTGTAATCAATATAAATGTGCACCAAAAAGAGAGCCTCACCATTTCATCTTGTCCACCTCGAACTTGTACAGGTCTCCAGCCAGCCCGTACTTGTTGGCGCTGAAGGCCTTGTAGCCTCCGTGGATGTAGATGGCTCTGGAGCTGGGGTCGAACGCGCTGCTGTGGCCGTACCCCCCCTGCACCAGGGCCCCGTCCGTCGACACCATGCTCCATGTGTTCCTCACTGGAGGGTCACAGAAACAACATTTTACTGAGCCACTGAAAACTAGCTTCATTATCATTCATAATACAATGAAATACAAATAAGCAAGAGAAGGGAAACTATATAGATAGGTCTTTGTGCAGAATTTAGGTTGTGTACCCAGAGGGGATGTGCTGGAAGTAATTACAGCTTTACTGAGTTTACACAGCATCTTATGAGTGGAGGAGAGACAAGCCGATAACAATCTTGTATTATTTTTCATAAAATGCATTAAAAGTAAAAAAAAAAAAAGCATCAGACTGCCTGCAGATTTGACTGGTCGTCATTCAAGAATTGTTCATAAAAGAGTCACTTTTTTGTGTGTGGAAATTGGACATGCACATCCCATTGTCTTACATGGACTGGCTTTTACAAGACTAGACATCCTAATTAAGACTGGCTTTACGACTTTTGGTGTCTGAAAGAAAAACACGATCCCAGTCCAATGTCCGTCCATTTTTATCTTGGTGGTCAGTGTTGATTTCCTGTTAACATATCAGTGGTCTAAAATGGAGCAACTGACACAAACCTAATTTACAACAGGATAAAAAAGGTATACTGATTCTAATATAGCAATATACCTTTATTTGTATCATTTATTTTGTACAGATTGCTGATAGATCTGTTTATAACTGACTGTTTGCACTCTGGTTAGACCATCCTAATTTCATTTCACTCTGCTTGCATTGTGTAATGACAATAAAGTAATCTAATCTAATTCTCATTTGACCATTTACAGCTCAAATGCCCCCTTGCTTAGAGATGGTACTTACAGAAATAATGTGTCATAATGTTTAAACGCCAACCAGCAGTATGCCATCACACAGTGCACTTCTATATGTGCAGACAGTTTTTGAGCTTTCAATGCATTTTCATGGTGTTGGGATTGGTCACAAGTAGGGAGGTATAAGGTAGTCTCTCACACTTCAGGACCTACAGCTTACCGATGTTGTACTCCTGCACCTGGTTGATGTATCCGTACAGAGGACAGTGTCCGAACAGGACCAGCATGATGGGACTGTCCTCCTCCTGGAGGGGAGGCACGATGTGGGCCGAGTGTCCTACCACGGGGTACTGATCCTTGGCCCGCGGGCTCAGCAGGACCCAGGTCTGGTTCTGGATGTGGAAAACCCACAGCTGGCTGGACACGTTTCCTGTGGAGTCGATCTTTCCTCCGTACATGTAGATCCTCCCCTGGTAGAAACAGAAAGCAAGGCAGTGTAAGATCATACAGTATATAACGGGAGGTCCTTTCTAAAACTAAATATTGTGAAATGCATTCAACCTAAAACACACATCAGAGTTAGAAAGGAGTCTTTTGTAATCCTAGGTCCAATTTGCTATAGCCACAAACACTGAACATTCTTAGTACCAATATTGTAATATTTTACCTCATAACTAACTTTGCGTTGTTTTGAAGCAGTGTTGCAATAAAAAAAATATGTATTCAACGGCTCAAAACACAACATTGACTAAACCAAAGCCTGGCACAGTTACACTACTATTGTGATCAGGAATCATCCGTCTATTGAAGTATTACCATGAAACTCAAACAAAGCATAAGAAACACAAGGGATTTTCATAGAAAAGAAAATCAACCTTGGGCATCAATAACCTTCAATCCCTTTCTTATAATAACGCCAGTTTATTTGCATCACGCCCTGGACCTTGTTTCCGAAAGAGAAAAACATTCCCCACTTGAAGACCTGAAGAGTTTCTGGAGGTCAGACAGAATGACGTCTCATTAAGAATCGGGCAATTGTCCATTCATTCTTTATTAGAAAGAACAAAGTGTAGACCTGGTTCCTATAAAAAGTGCCCCGTGATTTGGGAATATACATTTAATTAAAAGTACACGTGGGTACAAAGTACTCATCCCCATGACAATATAAGAGCGAGTAATTGCAGATCCTATTGAACAAAGAAACTCATCGAAACAGAGGGTACTTGATGTTGTTGAAGCAGCAGTTCCAATTTAGTTTGGTAGCTTCAAAATCAATTTAATTAATTCTGAACGTGTATTGAGGATTATACAACAAGGAAAGGGCCCTATTTTATTACACAAGTGGAACAATTGTTAAACTAAGAATATGTTTAAGTAATAATGCGACAAACTGTATTTCTACTCAAAACGTTCTTATATAATCTCAACACAAAGTGGTTTGATGTGATCCAGGCGTGACCGAGGAGTTATAGCATGTTCTGCCTTTGATAAAGCGATCATATTGTGTTTGCTTGGAGCAGAGTTGGCACATTATCTGTGTCTGTGAGACTTCCATCACTTAGATCTTTAATGCATCAAAACTGATTTGATTTCAGATTTGTTTTGCAAGCTCACACCGACTTCCATTCAAACACCGTGATGCAACGTGTGCATCAACAATCGCTCTGCAGCCCTGAATCCTCTACTCGCTCATTTATTATTCCATCAGCGGCTCCTAACAGTCTTTCTGGCTGTGAACAAACCGCTTCACCACTTCACTGCCGCATATCAGAACCCAGAGATTTATATATTAGTTCCAGACAGCAAACAGACTACTGAAAGCATACATAAAAGGAAGAGGGGTCTATAATGTTTCTGCTAACTCCTCCATGTAATTCAGTTGTCATCTGTTCTGTTTTCATCTCTTTTCAAAACCTTTTTATGTCACACTGAGATGGGCTTCGGATGCATCCAGAAAGTTTTATCATAATAGAGCGATGTAGTCATGCTGTCTGAATGTATATCCAGGTTCACGGTAGATGTCCTTTCTCGCTCCACATACCTCATGAAGAGCCAGAGAGTGGCCGTATCGCGGCGTCACACTGTTGACGGAGGGGTCCAGGGTCAGCCAGCTCTTGCTACTGAGGTTATACCTGCGGGAAAGAAAACAGGAAGGTGAGGAGACCATGACAGAGCAGCTTTAAGAAACTACTCAAGGAGGATTTTAACAAGTATATGAGTGCAAGAATTAGAATCCAATTAACTGTTGATTTTTACTAGGGCTGTACCCGAATATCCAAATATTCGCTCGTTGGAGTACTATTCGGGTTTCAATTTTGTTATTCGGATATTCGTTTTGTTTTTCGAATGTATTGAAATCTCCAATATCAACGTAAGAGCTTGTGCCTCTTCGGGGGGTGCTAACACTTAACCATAAACGTTATCGTTTACTTTCTCCGTCTTTATATGTAGATATTACTTTTTCTCCATTAATCTCTGTCACGTTGTTTCCATAGCAACAACAACTTCCTGTCAACTGCGCTAACTCTCCTTCAAAATAAAAGCATGTCCATACAAAATAGAAAGCCAAGCCAAATTACACTTAAGACATATACAACTGCAACGAAAGTAACACACACAATGCTTTTAAATTTCAAAGAACAGAAATTGGGTTATTTACATTAACAAATAACTATAAAACAACAATACTGTAGAATAACAAAAATAATGCCGTGAATAAACCGAAATACACGTCTCGAAGCGGTTCGCTGCTGATTACTACGCGCCCCCCCCGCGGAACGAATATTCGCTGCCGATTACTACCGAATATCCGGAGCCTGAAAAATGGTATTCGGGACAGTCCTAACTTTTACATATAAAGAAAGTGCTTTGGAGTATTTCTTCCTAACATAAACTATTAAACGGGATACAATTAAAATACATGATTAGATGATTAGATATGAGAAGTGGTCGTTTTGCTTGATCAATTGAAATGTGACAAAGACAAGGTGAACCAGCCCGTGGGGAAACATTGTTTGAAATGGAAACCCATAAATCTTTGGACATAAATGATGTTGGACCCTCTTCATTCCCCCTTTTAAAGTCAGTGAGATGAATGTAGCAATTGCATAATGTGGGGCAGTCCTCTGGACATTATAATAGGTTTACCTTCCATAGAAGCTTTATTTATTTGATATCACACAAACATCTATCTTGTCAGACTTTAAGTAAAGTGTTTACGTGCCGCCAGCTGGTGACTGGAACAAGCAGCGCCCCGCTAGGAGTTACTGGGGTGGTTTGTGTGTGTGTGATGGGACACATGGAGGCGACATTCAAAACAAACAATAGTGGTTTCTAAAAAGGTTTGTGTAGATTCTGCAATAGTATATCGAATATTGAGAGTTCATTCATGAATTTCTTCATTCATAGATAGCAAAGTGCCACAATGAAGGCTTTTCTTGATGAAATAGAAGATGTTTGGATTTTTTCCGACTGGTTTTTGATAGTCTTATTGGCAGATGATTCATTATATCACATGCTAAGCTTTTCCCTGAAAGTGCCTGCCTTCTTTCAAAACAGTTTCTAAAGACTGCTTCTCAGAGGTTTCTATGGAACCAACATCTGCGTCAGGTTAATTAAAAATGGTTTGAAACATAGATTATATTGCTCTGAGTATACTCATCGGCTATTCATAGGCAAACCACAGGTAGGACATTTTAAAAATTGCACACAAAATGAACCATCCAAAAAAAGAACCTTCAACAGCAATGAGCAAGTACTCTCCATTGAGACGTGTTGATGACTCCAGATTTAAATGTACCAAAGATACATGAGAGTTGAATCAATCTTCTCATGTGTTTTACAAAATGTTGTTGGAGTTTGGCCAGTGCAACTTTATGTGTATTGCTTATCTTTCTTATCCAAAGTGGCATACAACAAGGACTGTAGTAAATAAACAAATAAAAGTTAGTTTACAATGTGGCCCACTCCAAAGTACAACGGCTTCCATCATACGAGCGCTGTTAAACCTGACAAACATAGTATTTATCACAAGTGAAATGCAAATCATACCGTTTGGATTTTAGACAGACTATGAAACCATTGCTCTGGAAATACTTGCGGCTTTATCAGGAACAAGATAAGCATGTACATCGAGGAGCAGAATTTTTGCATTTGTCAAATCCAATTATGTCAAGGTGACAACCCAAGTATTAGTTTGGAGTTGGCAGAATGCTTCTATTCAGTCTCACATGATAGACGTGAGGAGAAATAAAAAGTGCAGCAGCCTGCCTCTTAAAACCATAAAACCAAAATATGAGCCAGGCGGAAAATAGTGATCATCCTGGGTGGAGTTCAGGGTGAGGAGCACCAGCTGTAATTGTATGGCTTTAATAACATCCTTCACTCTTGCAGAGCCGTGCCGTGTTCTTCTCCTTGTTCAATGTTTAACAGACAGCGCTGTCTGGAAGAATCTGAGACTTCCTGACAGCCCAGTAATACTTAAGAACTATAACAGACATAGAAGTACAAAAAAATTGGTTTTGCAAAAGAGAAAATGTATTTCGATATCTCGTTCCCCTACAGTCGCATAGCAACGGCAGGACGAGAGCAGCAGCCAAAACGCCTGAAATCCAACTCCAGATGCTCACTGGGGAAAGTACTTACGCTTTGACCACGTGATAGTCGGAGGCGTTGAAGACGTAGCCTCCGATGACCCACATGATGCCCTGGTCCACCACGGCCTTGTGGGAAGCCTTGGCCAGCCCGGGGTCGGTGTACTCCTCCCGGGTGCAGAAGGAGGAGTTGGCTGGTACCGAGACCAAACAGTTTGGACCTGAGGAGCGAAGAAAATCGAACAGTCAGGGCTGCACGAGGGAGAAAATCATGCAGAAAGCTCACATCATACATTTTTTTATGCCCCAGCTCTTTAATAAAACATGAGACTAAAAATACCTACAAAATAAATCAGCATTAAAACAGTTTTTGGACAAAGTTTCTGCATTAAGGAGGATTCAACTTCAGACTTGCAGCCAGACCGTGATACATTACTGTGTATATAAATATGTCTCCATATCGAATAAACACATTTATCTAAGTTTGCACGAATCACCCTTTCTATGAACTTCACTTCAGCACGTACAGTATTGTGTACAGTACTTTGGATACATTTCCGATTTCTGAAGAATTGCAACATGATGAAAACTAAGCTGCAGAAAGTAAAAAGTATATATATAACGTTTTTTTTTCTTTTCTGGGAAATAAGTTGTCATGCCGTCTCCCCTAATTTCTGAAGAACAGCACCATAGTTTGTATGATAACGAAACACAAAGTTATAGCTTGTATTGTATGTGAATATATATCATATACTACCAGAGACGTATTTTGTATGTTTGGCTTTTACTGCAGTTAAGGCGCTTTGAATGCATTGGCTCCAGTGTCCAGTATTGTTCTTAAGTAATCAAGACATTTCTACACATGTGTTATCAAGCTTTAGGTGACACTACAAGAGAGGGTACGATCGGTTTTGTTTGGATGCTGGGAAAAAAAAACAGGATCTATTATTGATTTCTCTTCAATTATGAAGGTGAGAGGTGAAAGGAAAGATCAGAGAGGTTACCAAACAGGTATTACCTAACATAAGAGTCCTTTATCATTAAAAATGTAGTTTTAAATGCCAGATTATCCACTATGTAGAGAAAACTAGATGCATTACAGAACCTTTGTGTTGGAGAGATTTGGTCTTCCCTGTTACGGGACAAGAACAATGAAAGCAACATAAACCTGAATTATTCCTCAATAAAAGGAAAAGACTGGGACGCTTTTTGGTAACAATTGCCGAGTCATAAATAGAAAGACTGGCCTGGCGATGTTTGAATTGTTTTTTGATGGAGTTTTGGGGCAGATTTGTCGATTTTGTTTATCTACAGTCCTACATGATGAAAGACACCAATAACATTCTTCATGGTATAAAACATTTACAGACGAAGTGGAGCTATCACTCCATCTCAGAGTAAAAACAGGATGTTTGAGCGCCGGGGAAATCCCCATTTGATCATTATCCGCACAATGGCCATGTGACAGGAAAGGAAGTGTTATGATTCTCAAAGACAACCAAGGTCACTGAAGCCATTCTCCTTTTTGTTTTTGTTGGGCTGAAAGCTATTCCCTAATGGCCAATATTCCTCCAGGAGCACTAGGCAAACTAAATTACCGTTGCAACTTGGTGGCATTTCCATAAATAAAACAAATGTGGCCTTTGCTTCCCTTAAAGAGGCAATTTGTCGAAGGCTACGCATCTGTGAAAGAGATTAAACGCACGGCTGGCCCGACTAAACAGGCATCTGTCTGCTTTTGCACTGCTTGGTGTCGAACATGAGTGCATCTGGGAGCCGGCAGCACAGCGTACATTAAGTGTGCTACTAGTCCGCTAACATACCATGACGGGGTAGTAAAGGCTAAAGAAAATGCAGGTCTGTTTCGCAACTCCCTCAGCTTTAGTAATTAAATTGTGAGCATGCTGAGCCGCTGATATAACTGCAGTTAAATTAAGCTGTTGTCTCTGCACAGAGGAGCCATTTAAGAACAGATAGAGCGCCCATATGGTCTGATTCAAGAAAGGATCCACTAGTGTCAGGTCATCATCAAATACAACTTTTAAAAAAAACACTCGACAGTCATGACTCAGCCGAAAAGATGAGGAAGCTGGTCCTGCAAAACGTTCATCAGGTTGCAGCAGAAGGAAGTTGTGGGTTCAGCGGGAGCTTCGATAATAGTCATGGAGGCTTAAAGCTGAAGAGGCACTGGGTTGAAGATAAACAGGCAACAACTAAAGTCTGTGACACTCTCTTTATTAAACATCAAACTGCTGCAGTAGAGCTGCTCAGCTGCTCTGGATATTTACCCTCACCTTTCCTGGTTAAGTTTTGAAAAAGAATAGCAGGAAGTTCGTCTTTTTCTGGTAGTTTTTTTTTTTTCTTCGTCTTTTAGGGCTGGGCGATATAAAATATATTATAATATTATTATGGTATGTTTTATCAAATACCTTAATATTGATATTTCAACAACATTGTAGCATAGACCATTTGTTCTTCAACAACATACACTGAACAAAAATATAAACGCAACACTTTTGTTTTTGCTCCCATTTTTCATGAGATGAACTCAAAGATCTAAAACATTTTCTACATACACAAAATAACCATTTCTCTCAAATATTGTTCACAAATCTGAAAAAATCTGTGATAGTGAGCACTTCTCCTTTGCCGAGATAATCCATCCCACCTCACAGGTGTGGCATATCAAGATGCTGATTAGACAGCTTGATTATTGCACAGGTGTGCCTTAGGCTGGCCACAATAAAAGGCCACTCTGAAACATGCATTTTTGCTTTATTGGGGGGGTCTGGGGGGGTCCGAAAACCAGTCAGTATCTGGTGTGACCACCATTTGCCTCACGCAGTGCAACACATCTCACTCGCATTGAGTTGATCAGGTTGTTGATTGTGGCCTGTGGAATGTTGGTCCACTCCTCTTCAATGGCTGTGCGAAGTTGCAGGATATTGGCAGGAACTGGAACACGCTGTCGTATACGCCGATCCAGAGCATCCCAAACATGCTCAATGGGTGACATGTTAGGGTTAGAGTTAGGGTTATGGTTTAACCCTAGGGTTTCGGACCCTCCCAGACCCCCCCAATAAAGAAAAACTGCACGTTTCAGAGTGGCCTTTTATTGTGGCCAGCCTAAGGCACACCTGTGCAATAATCATGCTGTCTAATCAGCATCTTGATATGCCACACCTGTGAGGTGGGACGGATTATCTCGGCAAAGGAGAAGTGCTCACTGTCACAGATTTTTTCCGATTTGTGAACAATATTTGAGAGAAATGGTTATTTTGTGTATGTAGAAAATGTTTTAGATCTTTGAGTTCATCTCATGAAAAATGGGAGCAAAAACAAAAGTGTTGCGTTTATATTTTTGTTCAGTGTACATACATACATACATATGCTGCACTTAAGCTAAACCAATAACAGAATGATTTACAGAGTTTGGAATGCATTTATAAAAGGTCCCCAGGCTTCCTGAAATGTGCTGTTTGAGTATAGAAGTGAGTATCTGATCTTTTCAAGTTTCATACAGGACATAACATCTGTCAACCACTGTAGATGAGTGGGCGGGAAACTGTCTATCCATCTAAGCAGGATGGCTCGACGAGCTAAGAGGAGAGCAAAGACAGAGATCGCCGCCGTTCTGCAGTTAAACGCATCTCCTTTCCTATTACCCCAAATAGGGCAGCCAGAGGCTTTAATGTTTTTTATCAACAATCTGAATAGTACCTAGTAACTAATGTACACAAAAGTAGTCCCNTAAAGCAAAACTGCACGTTTCAGAGTGGCCTTTTATTGTGGCCAGCCTAAGGCACACCTGTGCAATAATCATGCTGTCTAATCAGCATCTTGATATGCCACACCTGTGAGGTGGGATGGATTATCTCGGCAAAGGAGAAGTGCTCACTATCACAGATCTTTTCAGATTTGTGAACAATATTTGAGAGAAATGGTTATTTTGTTGTATGTAGAAAATGTTTTAGATCTTTGAGTTCATCTCATGAAAAATGGGAGCAAAAACAAAAGTGTTGCGTTTATATTTTTGTTCAGTGTATTTAAGTAATAAGATTTTGGATCAATATTAATCAGTAATGTGGATTTAAGGGCGAAGTGGGTAAAGGCAAATAAAATAACTAATAAAACTGATCTAAAAACTGTTTGATATGGTTTGAAAATGACTTCACATTACCATAATGCAGCCTTTCAAGACAGGGAAAGACGAAACCTATGCGATATTACGGTGTCAGTTATTTAAGACAAAATCTAGTCTTGACAAAATAATGACTTATTGCCCAGCCCTCTTTTCTTTACTACTGCAAGCAAAACATCTGCTCTCTGAAATACTATTGAAAATAGTTAGAGGGCTTACTCCACTGTCATAAATAGATCCTGTATTATTATGATTTTGGCTGTTATGAGTGCATGTATGATGTTCCCCCCTCAAGAGCCGACTCACTGTTCATTCTGTACAGAGAACATAGAGGCAGTACAGTAAGAAGCTTATTTGAGTCACAGAGGACGGTTTGGCATGAGTGGACCTGATGACGCAAACCCAATGACATTGTTAAAAGCAGCGCAGTGTGTGAGACAATGAGGTCACATCTCTGGCATTCGGAGAGTTTCTGCTGCAGTGTGGGCCCACCTTGCCATCCGGTGTTGCAGACGCACACCTTGTCCTGGCATTGACCTCTCTCGGGGAAGCCACAGTCTGCCAGGCAGTACGGGACGTCACAGGCAGCCCCCTTCCAGTTGTCTTCACAGTCACAGTACACCACGCCCGTAGAGTTGTTCAACAGACATTCGCCGCGGCCGGAGCAGTTGTTGGGACATGAGTTCACCCTGGGAGGAGGGAGGGGACGAAGACAGAGAGGGTGAGAATTCCTGAGTGAAATACACACTCTGAATAAAACATCAGGGACACATTTCAGCGGCTGGGTTACATCTGCTTTTGTGCAGGCAGCTCCTCAGCTGTCTGCAGGCTTAAAGCCCCCAAGTCAGCAGAAGGACTTGTTACTGGCATCTTCCTCCCTCGTCAGTCGGTCGAGCGGCTGCCTCGACACTTGTCATTCATCTCAGAGGGATTGCCTGCACTAAAAACAGCGTTGAGCTCGAGGCAGAGGTAACCGGCAGACATAAAGTCACCGCCGGCACAGGAGAGCAGATGGTAAACTCCCCCGAACTCCAGTGAAACGGCAATGCTGACGCTCTCCGTGTCTCTCAACATGACCTTTATGTTTGTGCATAATGAGCTTATCGGTTTGCACCCACGGGACACATTTTGTGCCAAACAAATCAAACACATCAGAACATACAAACATAATTAAACTACAGCTGGAATAAGCTAAACACGCTTTTTCCACTGACAGGATATCTGTATATCTTGTTGTTTTTTGTAAATAAACATCTGTACATTTGTTAAGAAATCCTAACAGGGTTCCCACACCTTCTTTCACATCAAATTCAAGGACTTTTTAACGCATTTCTAGGCCAAATTCCCTCAAGTTAAACGACCTAACACAGCATAGTTTGAGACACAGCTCAAGGTTAGTTACTGTGACACGAACAACAATTAAAAGCGGGCGAGACCTGAATGCGGAACAGTGAAGCAGACTATAAAAAGGTTTACTGCCTTTTCTACCACAACACATCAAAACAAGTTAAACAAAATATCACAAGAACTTTCATTTGTATTCTTCCTAAATGAGTAAAGTCTGTTTACAAACATTTTCAAGGCGTGGTTTAGTTTCCCCTTCACATTTACAAACGATCAAGAATGTCAAAGACCTGTGAGTCACATGACATAAAAAAATAACTGATGATTACTTCATGCTGATCATTTTTTGGTATCTTTTTCAGCATAAACATTATTTGCGGTATCAGCAGAGAGGGTGACTCTGTTCCTGTTTGGGTTTGACTTTCCGGGATCCAGAAGTTAAAAATTCACAAAATCATCCACATTTTTTTTGTTTAAAATGGATAATCACGGTTCAGATGTAGCCCGCAATTACCTTTACCTGGCCAAATCCCATACCACAAATGTAAGCAGATATTGAGTTCACATTAGACAAGGTATGATAGTACTTGATTTTAAGCAGTGACTATGCCATGAACCTGCAAATTAAGGGAGAAACAAACTATGCAAAAATAGCCAAATGTTTAAAAATGTCTCCAATTTAAAAGCAACTTCAGGTACATGTGTATTATGTACACTTAAATAACATATACAAAACATACAATTAAATGATTTATGTTAAAAGGAAAAGGTTTAGTATTATTATATGGAGCTATTTTGGGTTCATAAGTTATGATCATTCAAAAAAATACAATTTATTAAAGTTCAAGTTTTTATCCTGAACTTTGAAAAACACAATGATGTATTCAAAATAAAAATAATTATTTGAAATCATTTTTCAGGTTGAATATTATTTTCATTCAGTTCAGCAATTTTTTTGAATAAAATATTTATTTTCAGATTTCACTTTTATACTTATTTTGATATTTGAATCCTTATTTTTTTCAGTTGCAGATTTTTCGTTTTCAGATTCAAAACAATTATTTTTTCAGTTTCAAATCTTGTTTTTTCAGGTTTCACATTGCTTTTCACCTTCAGATCGTTTTTCACTTTCAGATCTTTTTTTTCGCTTTCAGATCCTTTTTTTTCGCTTTCAAACTTTTGGCCCTGATATTGCTTGGGGGGGCGGGGCTTAGCAAAGAGTAGTTTGGCTTCCTGAGTGACAGGCCTCCCTCTGTCATGTTGCCTTCATGGATGTTAGGTAGCGCGAGAAATATAACTCAATACTTTCTATACACAATACTCCCGTGAGTATTGTGTATTGTGTTCAGGATAAAAACTTGAACTTTCAAATAAAATTGTATTTTTTTGAATGATCAAAACTTATGACCCTGAAATAGCTCCATATTATTCTATATTTCCTTATTGTTAATCCATCCCATAAAAAGACCAAAACCGACAACATGTGAGTCCATCTGTCAGTGTTTGGGTAAATGGACTTTCCTCTCAGCACTAAGCCCATTGGTTCCTACTGACTGTTACTACTAATCGTTAAAAATAGGTCACAAATACACTGTATACTTTCATTTAAAAAAAGAGCTGTGTACTTTTCTAAAATGCCTGGGCGCTACAGATTTGATCAAACACGACTCAAACAGGATTAATCCACATTGGGGCTTTAGCGAGCACTTACAGAAGCAGCACCCTGTATGTTGAAAAATAATAAGCGTCCATCGTTTTTGATTTAATAGTTTGTGTACAACAATAGCAGAGGGGAAGAAGATATATAAATCAATTGTTATTAATAGAGCACTTTTCATACACAAAAGGTAACAGAAAGAGCTTCACAAAAAAATTCCAACCGGCCCCCTGAGAATGATATTAGACGACAGAACTCAATAAACACTGGACTGAATAAAACAAGCCTTAATTGAAAGCCAAACTAAAAAAGGAGGGTATTGAGCCACATGGATACTTCAACAGCACTCATTATTTTGGTTTTGGTCTTTTTATCTGTGAACCGTAAAAGAAACAAAGAATATTGCCAGACTTACCTTTAACTATGGAAATCACTGCAAACTGTGTACACGACAATGTGTTTTATAACAAGAGTAAACAAGTCGATGTCAAAGGTTTAGCAGTAACTCGGATGATTATCCATTCGAGTGGGACTGAAGAGGGATGTTTGTCTTCAGGAGGGGGAGGGAAATGTTTTGGAAGCGAGACAGACGGCACAAAAAGGCCCTCGTCCATCTTTCATGTTCCTTGGAAAGCCTCGTGGTTTGATGTTTCCGTTCCTCCACCTCTCTGAGACACCAAAGACCGGGGGGGCACCGCGCTTTCATCCGACTGTGTTTTTCTACCCAACTTCAATCCCATCGCCATGGTGACTGGACCAGTGAGCTGGGAAAAACTCAGGGGCCCATTGTGTCCTTTTCAGACGTTGGGAACGGACAAGCTTCACTTTGAATTTAGAAGACGTTTCCCTTTATGCCAGTTTGGGGAAAACAGCTTTGTTGTCTCTTTATGACTTGAAGGTTATTTTCATCTGTCTATTTGTGTGTATACTGGTATATGGTTGTTTAGCAGATTCAAGTTATAAGAATATATGAGTTTGGGTGAGTGTTTGTTGTGAATACATGGGAATTCATTGATTGTCTGTGTTCATCCCATTGCATTTTCCCTGCTCACTCATCTGTAAAAAGGGGTTTCTTGCTGTCATGAAGTAAAAACTGGATACTGAAAAGCTGATGTCAAGTACACACCTATGGGAATTGAAAGCTCAAAAGAAAAGAGGACATCATGTAGAAATGAACAACACATGTGGGGAGTGAACCTTTTTGCTGGTGTTTTGGTCATTAGTCCTAGGTTTGAAAATAAATCAGCATGAAGGGAAAAAGTGCTCTTAAAAAAGGCAAAGAAATGTATTCTTGACCTTAAATGGACCTGAAGAATATATGAAATAATTAGGGCTGTCAGTCGATTCAAATATTTAATCGCATGATGTCCATAGTTAATCGCGATTAATCGCAAATTATCTGTTCTAAATGTACCTTAGACTAGAGGAATGTTTTTCAAGTTTTTAATACTCTTATCAACATATGAGTGGGAATATATGCTTTATGCAAATGTTTGTTTATTATCAAATATTCTCCTGAATATTCTCAATACAACAACCTGGAACCTCTCTCTCTCTCTCTTACTTACACTCTCTCCCAACCCTGTGTACTTCTTTGCACTGAGCCAGTTGCTCAAACAGACAAGCCTGTTTACGTTTGTCGGCGAAATCCCGCTCCTCTGTCTTCATCTTCAGTCAAAGCATGAGACTGAAGTTCCCACTGTGGGTCAAAATAATGACTGTGATGTGCAGTCGAAACGTTGGATGCGATCCGAATTATCTAACGCAGCCCCTCGTCCTCCACAATGTTAAGCTGTAGCCACTCATTTAGCTATCGCTGTTGAAAGCTTGTTGCTCGTAGAAGTGTCCAGGCGTCTCCTCGGCAAACTTTCAAGCGTGGTCTGCCACAAGCGAGCGGCAGGAGCGGGGCTTTCAGCACCAGCTGTGTGCTTGGCTTGAATTTTAAAGCAACTTTTTTTGTATCCATATCTCTCGCTAGAATCTGCCAACATCCAACTAACAACAACAACAACAAAAACAACGTCAAGCCTTTGGGCTCTGAAACTACGGGGAGGGCCGAGGACAAATAAACATGCGTTAATCGCACGGTAAAATAATTAGTGGCGTAAAAAAAAAATTGCGTTAGCGTGTTATTAACGCGTTAACTTGACAGCCCTAGAAATAATAACTATTTTTATCCCACATCATTTATAGAATATATATATTGTAATGCTCACTCTGAATGTATGGTTAATGTTTTCTTTTATAATACAACTTCACACATTTTTCATCTTACATTTTAGTGTTTGGTTTTCCCACTTTTTTTATGCAACTTGAACGTTTCTGAATATTTTAAAATTAGGAACATTTGAATTGTAAATGTCAATTTAAGCACAATAAAACATTTGAGATACCTTTCCATTTTAATGTTCCAATTACATAAATCTTTCTCCCTTACATTTGAATATTAAGGATATATTATATATCCAATTAAAAATGAGTCTGATTGAGTCAAAAATGTTTATTTACCAGTATAATGTGTATTAGCTAATAATCTGAATCAATAAAGCAACTAGTAACTAGAGCTGCATGATAAATGCAGTCAAGTAAGAAGTATTATACAGGGTTCCAAAATGTTGAGCAGTAGAAATAAAGTAGCAGAAAAAGTACTTTAAAAATGTATTTAAGTACAGTCCTTATGCAAATATACTTCATTACATTCCACCACTGTGTTAAACTAGTTATTGGCCTATGTTTGCTTCCATGTGGTTTATCTTAGCATTGTGAAGTGATGCAAAAAAAATGATTGTACACAGGTTCTGCCTCAGGGCTGAGTGGTAAAGTGTTTGTCATTTAGCAGATATTTTCATCTGGTGACTGACACTATCATGGATGCATGTGTGGCCCCGAGGCCTGCAGCACCACTATCAGAGGATGAAGAGCAAATGAATATGTGGAAGCTGCCATCAGAGATCTGAGATTTCAAAACCAAGAAAACATTTCATTTGATTTGGAGACGCGACCTGTAAGTGGAGAGATAAGCTTTTTGAAAGCTGCTTTGATTATATTCTAAAAACTGATTTCACTTTCCTTTTGAAAATGAAACCAATAGGGAATTTAAATCGTTGTTCTTCTCTCACCTGTAGGAAATGTTGAAGCCGGTCAGGTTGTAGGCAGCGTCACTGAAGAAGTGCAGCAGGGCGTAGCCGGACTGAGACACCACCTCAGGGACCGTCTCGTTCCCGTAACGCTCAGGCACGATCAGACCACTGCAATTACAACTCAAACATGTCATTTAACAGATTAAGATTTTAATTTTCACATATACAGAACTCCTAGACTGATATGTATATAAGTGGTAAGGATCTTGTTGAAGGACACACAACAGTCTTTGCTTGTTTGTGTGCATAAACGTATATTTAAGGGTTTAGTAATTGTTTGTAAATCTTTTCTCCCTTTACAGTTTTCTCTACCACCGTAAAATACACGTTTCAGATAAAACACTCTGAGGGATAGAAGTGAATACTTAAACCAACTTTTTTGGATTCAATTGTAAAATAAAGAGAAAGAAGGCAGTAGATAAGCCAGTCCACCAAGCGAGTTCCTATACAAATGGCAGGATAGTGTATAGTTCACCTTAAAAGGGCCATCTTAATGCATGGCACACAGACAAATGGAGGCGATGGGTTGCTTGCTTAAGTAATAACAATGTATGGAAGCAAAGAAATGCCAGAATTATAAACATTTTGATATCTTAACATGTAATGGATCCACTCCTAGCTAATTCATGTTGGACATTTCCAGGACATCTACTCCACACAGGGACTACTTGTACAACGGACTGCAGTGAACCCACAGTAGACGTACCTGAAGGCGGCGAGGAGGGGGGCGTAGATTGAGTCTCCGTCGTACACGTACAGGTGGTCCCAGCTGCATTCAGTGGCAAAGTGGTTAAACCGTAATCGGAGTATGGTGTTGGGTCTGGAAAACAACACACAGAGGAAGAAAATGAGAACTTCTGAACGGGATAGGAATTGAATCGAAAACATTTTTGTTATTGTTCCTGAAAGAGAGAACTGAAGAGGTTGCACAATGCACCCACTTTCACATGAGGAGCAGAATAAATTGGATTTTTGGAACATAGAAAGGTGGATAATTACCAGCTGAAGTGGTAAAGGCAAAACATTTTCTACCTACGACAAAACTTCACTTGCATCAGCTTTATATTTGCATTAAATCACAGTAAAAAACTGTTATTTCAAATTCATACGATTTTATTAGGTGATTTGTTACATTAACGGACGTAACAGAAGGTAAACGCCAGCTCTGACAAGTGAAGAAGCCGATATAGTAGGTCACATTTAATAAGGCTCATTTTAAAAACTGTGCAATATTAATGTATTAACCCTCCGTGACCTTTGCAGTACAGCAGAGAGACCAACAGGACAAAGGAAGCTTGTTTAATCAGTTTTTGATTGAAGACATGAGATTCTTGAAAATAACTTTGCTCTAAATGTGATTAACACGGCAAAATGAAATCATTCAAAAGTGGAGGGAATAACACAAAGGCCTATTTAGCTTTCTCTACTTTGAGGGTACAGGAATAGGAGCAGCCCCGAGGTTGGATTAGAAAAAGAAAGCTTGTGGCTTGTTCGAATCATTATTTACCAAAGAGCGCCTGGAGATATCTGACAAAGAAACCCCTCTTTTAAATCACTCTGCTACCCATAAACACGGCTTTATTTTACTGATCATTTCACTGCCTTTCTGTAAAGTCACTTCAGGCCACAGCAGGCACTTAACGGCAGGGAAAGCATTGAGTGAATGTATGTACGAGGCGATACAATTCTCCTGTCATTCTGATGCATATGGTGGACGTGCCACTGCATTAACCTCATGCTGAGAGGTATGGAGAAAGCATATTAAAGTGCCATTAGTATGTAATGAAAACGCTGAACGATAGCGATTACAGAAGCCATTCAGGAACAGGAAGGTCAGAGGTTCAAGTCCCTGTAACATCCACACGTCCTGTGCAAGGAAAAATGAGTTTGACCTCCTGAGCCTCGAGAAAACTCACTCGTGTTTAATCGTCCTCAGGAATGAAAATGTTGGCGAAATGCCTAAAATGCAAATGCAATCAGAGAGCTTATGGTTCGGAAGAGCTGCTGGGACAAACAAAAATGAGAACCATGGCTCTGAATCGATACTCTGTCGCGTGGTAATGCTGACTAAAACAATAGAGAAGGAGTATTGGATTCCACACAGTTACTTTGCCATTCATTTCCATCCATCAGCTTCAGCCTAGTGTATAGTCCTGATGCTGGAGGGTTTCTCAGTGAAGGACTGCAGTGCAGACTGTGTGTGTTACCATCATTATGAGCACCCTTGAATTATTGACTTGCAGCTTCTCTTTTCACAATCCATCCCTCAGCTGTGTCCAGGTTATCAATTCTGTAGCCTCTTTTTCATAATGGTAGAAACTGATTTAATGGATGAAATCAATGAGAGAGTATCGTTTCGTGTGGAGTGTCTGCAGACTTTGCTCTGGCTTCTTAAGAGACTCGATGCGTAGGTTGTTTTTGTGCATTTTAAAACACTAATTATTTTTGGATAGCAGCTTATCATATGGAAAATATTCTGCTTCAATCTAGACCAGGGGTGTCAAACTCAATGTTCACCACATTAGCATTATGGTTAAACTCAAAGGGCCGGTTGTAACTTTAAGACGATATAAATACATAAAATAATGTATTATGTTACATTATTGCCTCTGCATTGGATTATTATCGGATAGGGTAATAACTTCATAATTAACTACGTCTGAATGCAGAAGTCTAGGGCAAATAATTGCAAGTCTCTTCAGTGCGCATGTCACAAAATGAGATGCATTGTGGGACATGTTGTTTATTGGCAATGTACTTCTGTAAAATGGCATGTAACCGTATAATAAACATATTATGTTCATTGCAAGCTCTTGCGGGCCACATACAATGAAGTAGCGGGCCGGATTTGGCCCCCGAGCCTTGAGTTTGTTTTTTTACTGCGGTCCAAAAAATATTCACTTGATTGCCTGACACCTGTATTTAGAGTTTCACGCAGCAATCTACCACCATAAATTGAATTAATAAACAAGAATAAAATCCACTTTTTACCCCATTATTTGAAGGATATGATCAAAAAAGACTCAAAACTCAATCAAAAGTTTCTGAACTAACAAAGCGGTTAAAAGAAAGAGTAGCATAATTGTTGTAAAGTAATGTGCCGTTATTCTGTGCTGTGTTGAATCTGCTTCCTACTCACTGTCCCTCGATCAGCCAGGTGCACTTGGTCTTGTACTTATAGTTCCCTGGACCGTCACTCAGATGACCAGAGGGCCCCGTCAACCTGAGAGAAAGAAGATAGACAAGGTTACAAATTAATATGTAAAATGTTTTATTCCTAACAAGCTGAAACCCAGGAAACGTTATTCTGTTGGAGGCAGTGTTTCCCACAGAATTTGATTATATTTCTGGGGGCACCGCACCCACACCCCACCCCGGCAAGAAAAGACAAAGGCCCCTTAACCTATTTGGGTGGTCCATGTATTCACCCCCCCTCAAATAAGAAGGGGGCCCGCCACAAATAAATCAATGTATGGGAAACACTGAGAGGTGTAATGTGAAATAAGTTCCTGATAGCACCCCTGAATCCCCCAAACCACAGCATCACTATGCTTTATGCAAGAATGTTCAACATATACTGATACGTTTGACTGGAAAAAATGTGCCCATATCACATTAAAAAGCAGTATTAAAAACAAGAAAGAAAGCCAAATGACTCCCTTTAGAATTCATCATGTTTTGTTGTTCAATTAAAGATGTATTTCTGTCATACTTATGTCATGCAAAAATAATAAACCACTGAAACAAATGAATTAGGGTGCAATAATGTATTAATAATACATACCGTCTGTCCAAAACCCAAAACAATTATTATGGTGTTCCCTGACAGTTGTATTCTCAACATTTACAACCATTGAGCAGTAAAATAATAACAACACTTTAAGTTTTTATTATGATGAAGCCTAATAAAGAACAACCATCTGTACATGGAACATGTTTGGAACTGAACTGAAATCCCACGGGTATTTGCCCTTTTTTTAAACTCTCAGGCCCGTTGTGTGCTAAAATGATGAGAAACTATTTTGTTATTTATCAAGTGAACCTTTTCCATTTCTCAAATTGGAGCATGTTGACTCTATATCATGGAAACTTCAGTATATTTATGATGTTATGAGACATTTTCCCCTTCTTATGACATCTACACGCTACATTTATAACAAATTCAATCATGATTGAATGGATGACAACATCAGAATATTGAAAGTAAGTTTAGTAAACTTTGCAATACTCATATCCTTTTAAATATATAAATGATCTATCTTTAAAATACTGAATAAAAAAGTTACACTAGAAGTTGTTGCTAAGAATACTTGTGTAGTAGCTTCACAGAAATTAGTACACACAGAGTTTTTACACAAGAGCCTATCAGCAGAGAGGGAGGTAAACAATAACTTCTGCCACTTCAGATTTCATCTAATGCCTGGTGGTTGAGCAAACAGTAAATAAGCCAGCTTCAGGGTAAATGATTAAAGCTCACTGCAAATTATTATGTGAGGCCGACACCACGACGGACAGCCGCACACAGACTCAGAGTGGAGCACGGCGCCCGGCCTGTTATTGCCTGATCAATTCTTGCCTGATGACACAGCAGAGAGCAGCTGAATTACACAGGGGGCACTTACATGCAGCCAGAGATTGTATCATTACTCATGGAGGTCTCAGGGTGCAATGACTCTCTAAACACAACCAGTCACAGTCTGCCTCCAAAACAGTCTCTCAGCACCACTTGGTGCTAAAGTCTGCAGAAAGATCTCTGCATTACGATGTTAATAATAGGGAAGGGCTTTTTAGGTCCATATTCAAGGACTGTACTTTGTACTTTCAATTCTAACACAGGGAAAGTGTTTGAAATGAACAATCTAAATGGTGAATGGTTAGTTAGTGTGCTTTCTGTCCTGAGAGTGAAAACCAAACATGGAGAAGCAGTGTTATGCTCTGTTTAAGTGGAACAAACTACCCAAAAAATTGCAGGTACGCTTCCAACTCTCACTTATTGTTTTCTTCATTTGAGGATGAAGATTTTTTCGTAACCTTCTATTAAATAAAAAAACGTTTCATATCTTATACTGCAACTTTTTTTGGCTTTAATGACTCATTAAAAATATCCAATGAACTTAAATGTCATAACAAATGAGTTTATGTTGCACTATTTTTTTTGAATGCTGTAAGGTTTTCTGTAAGGTACTTTGAATTGCCTTGAAATTTGCTGTATAAATAAACTTGCATGGCCAGTTGGGGATAGTCTTTGCAGACCATTGATGTACAAACCAGAGTTCCCGTTAGCCGGTACTTACCGGACTATGACCGGTCAAATATGCTGAAGACTGGCAAATCTAAATCTCTCCGCTCAAAATATCCGGTCAAAAATAATTTCCCCTTAGCGCAATACCGCATCAGTTGCGCCACTTATGTGACAGACAAGAATAGTATGTGACAGACAAGAATAATATGTGACAGACAAGAATAGTCAATTCTAATGTCTAATACTTAATGTGGAGAAAGAGATGTCCTGTATGGGTTGATTGTGTGTTGATCTGTTGTTGGTAATGCCTCGGGGTTCCGGTGGGCATGTAAACAAATGCGCTATAGCCTACTTTGTGGCTTCACCCGATTGCAGAGCAACGCTTATTGTTTAGGTGTCTTTTATTAAGCAGGTTGTCATATCATTAGCTAGATCTGATCGATATGGACATAAACGCGAGTAAAGTCTAATCTGAGAGAGATCAGCTGCTGCTGACGAGTCGACACGCAGCTCTGCCTGATCACCTGCAGCGGTGAGCGGAACAAAACACACACTTCAGGTTAGAATATCACACGTAGCTATTTTAATTACCTCTCAAACTACCTAAACTAGTCATAGATGTGTTTAGTTGTACTGTCTGGTCACTCATTACTGGATCCGCGAGCTGCATGATACCGACGGGCTGTCAGGAGAGGGAGAGAGCGCTCCGTTTATTATTCCCGTGTTATTGTAAATTACTGTACACTTTTGAATAATGTAGTTAATCTACTATAATTAGTTTGTTTAATATTGAATCATATCAATTTGTTTTAAATCTCAATAAATTAAAAAAAGACCTTTGACCGGCACTTTTCGAATTTGTCCGGAAGATTTCAACTTTAACGGACATTTTGACCGGCAATAAAATATTCTAACGGGAACTCTGGCACAAACACCTATATACTATAACACACCACAGGAGAGGGATAACCCCAAAAAAGTAATAGTAATCATCTAACTAGTTGTTCTATGATACAAATGTTAAACATTACATAACTTGTACTGCACAATCATTTTGTTTACTTTGTGGGACTACTCCATAACATCACTTTTATGACGCATGTCATCATTCTACCTGGAACGTAATTTATTGAACAAATATTGACGTCGTCCAAATTGAGTGCTCATGCCCATCCCCACTAAGTAACGATCTACAGAAACACTTCCTATTTTAAGCATGCCACTATTCAGCCCATATTAAAGAAAACTAACTTAGATCCGGCCCTGCCCGTGAACTACAGGCCTATATCAAAACTACCCTTTCTGTCTAAAGAGAAGGTTGTGGCCAACCAACTCACTGCTGCATTGGATAGGCACAATGTTTATGACACGTTCCAGTCGGGGTTTCGGAAAAAGCCCTCCACTGATACGGCTCTCGTGAGGGTTTCTAACTTCTGATGTGGGTGATTGCTCTGTATCAGTACTTCTTGACCTAAGTTCTGTGTTTGACACTGTAGACCACCATATCCTGATCAAGAGGTTACGTGACTGGGTGGGCATAGCACTAGACTGGTTTGCATCATATCTTGCTGACAGAAGTTTCACCGTCTCGATTGGAGACTTTGTGTCGGACTCCTCTCCACTGTCCTGTGGTGTCCCGCAGGGCTCGGTCTTGGGGCCTCTGTTATTCTCCCTATATTTGCTACCCTTAGGATAGATCATAAACAGATTTAACATTACATATCACTTATACGCGGACGATATCCAGCTCCACATTTCATTCAAACCTAGTGAGGCTCTAAGAATGTCTTCGTGTTATTAAGGACTGGAAGGCAGATAACTTCTTGCAACTCAATGCTGATAAGACGGGGGTTCTGGTTGTTGTACCAGAAAAGGTTGCGCCCATGATTTTGCTGCCAACTCCAAACTACGTAACTTAAGGGTAATATTTGACCAATACGCGTCGTTTGATACCCATGTTAAGTAACTGACGAGATCTTGTTTCTTCCACCTACGAAACATTAGTAAACTGAGATCTGTAGTTTCAACACCCGACCTAGAAATGATTATACATGCGTTTATTTCATCTCGCATTGAATACTGCAACGCATTGTTCTCCTCTCTCAGCATGTCTGCTCTTGGTCGTCTGCAGGCAGTCCAGAATGCAGCTGCAAGACTTCTCACCCGGTCAAATGAACGGTCCCACATTACCCCGATACTCAGATCTCTTCACTGGCAGCTTATAGGATACAGTTCAAAATCCTCACTCTCACCTACAGAGCATTGCACGGTCAGACTCCTGCTTATGTGGCCAACCTAATTCATCCATATCAGCCCGCTCACTCAGGTCACACAAGCTCAACTTACTGCCTGTCCCACGTACCCACCTTCAGACCCGCGGTTAATTTAAAGACATTCCCGTTTGGTTAACCGGTGTGCCTGATTTGATTCTATTTTACTATTTTTTCATTGTGTTTGTATTATGTGTTGGTGCTTTTATGACTTCTTAACACGTGGCTTGAGTGTTCATTTATCATTGTACGATTCCTATGATGATGTTTTATTGTTTTGTCAAGCACTTTGTGAAAACACTTTATAAATATTTATTTATTTATTTCTTTATTAATATAATGTTTCCTCCTTGAATGTCTCAGTTATCTGTACACTTTATCTTATTATTAATTGTTTTGTTTTCATTGATTA